TCCAGCCCTGCCCCTGGCAAGGGTAGAGAAATGGGTGTGCACTGGTGCCTCGTGCACTGTGGTGACCCTGTTAGGTGAGAACTTTGCTGCCACAGAAATTCCCACTCAAAACTCACAGCTCCGAGTTCACTGCAGTGGTGGCTCTGTCCGCTTTGCTCCTTCCACAGCGGTGGTGATTATGGTCAGGCTTGACTAAGCCTGAGTCATTGTACCCATCAGGTTATAGGTAGTTGTGAATCTCTAGATGTGCTAGGAACCAAATTGGGGTCCTCTGCAGGAGCAGCGAGGGCTTTTCACTGAGCCATCTATCTCGCCAGCCCCAGCAATTACATTTTTAGAAAAGAAGATACTGAGATTCTTGAAATAGCTGTGTTCTTTTTCAAAGTGCAAAAACTTAACCCTTATGAGTAACCAAGATCCCATTGGTTGCCAGCAGTGCCATGCTCCATGCCTCTCACAGATTCTAACAGTGACAGCCACAAAGAGAAGCTCTGCCCTGTGTTTTGACTGCTCTGTGACAGTGATAGCTGGTCAGGAAAGTGCGTATATTAAGCTCTTCTTGGATATTTTATTTATTTTTTTTTAAGAATCAGGGAATATTCCTTCAGTAGAGCATTTGTAAATTTTATTATTTTATGTGTACTGGTGTTTTGCCTGCATGTGTCTGTGTGAGGGTGTTGGGTCCCATGGAACTGGAATTACAGATAGCTGTGAGCTGCCATATGGGTGCTAGGAATTGAACCCAGCTCCTCTGAAAGAGTAGTTAGTGATCTTAACCACTGAACTGTTTTTTTTTTTCAGTCCCCTACTTCTTGGATATTTTTTTTCTTCTGATTTTTTTTTGAAACAGGGTTTCTCTGTAACAGAGCCCTGGCTGTCTTGGAACTCTCTTTGTAGACCAGGCTGGCCTGGAACTCACAGAGATCTGCCTGCCTCTGTCTCCTGAATGCTGGGATTAAAGGGGTTTGCCACCATGCCTGACCACTTCTTGGATTTTATTGTGAAAAGAAAATTCTCAATTAGAAGGAAACATTACATTATAAATATGAATTATTATGATAAGCAGTGAACAAATAGATTGAATTTTCCACAGAATAGTTAGCAAATCATCCTTCAGTATGGTATTTACAGCATCAGCATTAAGTTTTTATCTTTCAAAAATATGTGTAAAGAGTCATGTGCTGGCTCATGCCTGTAATCCTAGTGCTCAGGGAAGAAGCAGAAGAATCAAGACTTTAGGGCCAGTCTGGGAACCAAACTGGCCACAGAGTGAGATCCTTCATAAAAACATCCTAAACATTTATATCTTAATATCTTTCTGTCATCTCTGTGTGTATGTGTATATTTGTGTGTGTGTTATATTCCCCCAAGGGCTTCTATTAATCTTTTCATAGTCAAATTACTCTTGAGTCCTTTGAAAAGAATATGGTGTTTGATGGCTTCTGACCACAAAAGTAGGAGACTCAAAAAGCTCAGTATTTGTAGATAGACCCATGGAGTCAAAACCATCTGTTGGAACCTTCGGCATTTTTTTTGAGCATCTTAGAGACAAAGGAAACCTGGAATCCTGTTGACGTTTATGCTGCTTTGCGTGCTGTGAATGATAACACATCTTTTGTTTCTGGTCTGGGAGAACTGAGGTCCCTTGTCAGCATGCACAGGGTGACTTGGACTAACCTAACTGACAGTGTGCCGTGTGATGAAGATACAGAACTTACAGGTATCTGTAGCCTCAATCTCATATTAAGATATAATTTCAGTTTCCACAGAGGGCTTTGGGTGCTCCTCTTAGGACCAGTGGAAGTCACTAAAGCTCGCCGTTAGTTTTGCCTAGTTTTGAATGTCAATATAAATGCAATGATATATGTATTTTCATTTTTCTATCAAAAGTTCAGTTATATTTTGTGTCAGGTGTGATATATCACTTGAAATTTCCATGATTTGGGCCTTTTACATACTGTAGACATACGCTTGTTGCTTTCGTTCACAGCATTCATTATGTTGGACATATACCTGGAAATAAAATTGTTGGACCACAAGGGTCATTGTTTAGCATAATGGATGCTGTCAAACATTTTCCAAAGTGGCTGAGCTGCAATATGTAAGAGTTCCGTTTGGTCTGTATTATCATAAATGTTTTGCTCCTCCCTCCCTCCTCTTTGGAATATTAATAGCCCTTTGAGCACAGAGCTTGTAGTGGTGCAGCTGAGTCAAATGGTAGTTTGATGTTTAATTCTTCAGGAGCCTCCATAGTGATTTACAAGTGACTGTGCCGTTGACAGTCCCATCTGCAGCAAGCAAGGGTTCTCCCTCTCCAGCATTTGCTGATGATGCCATTCTGTCTGAGTAAGAGAATCTCCATGTAGTTTTCATTTGTATTTCCCAGATGGGTAAGGATGTTGAACACATAACCAAACATTTATTGGCCATTTGTATTTCCTCTTTTGAAAACTGTCTATTTTATCAGCCCACCTTTTGATTGGAGATGTTCTTAGAGTTAGTATTTGTAGTTCTTTTCTCTAGGTAGCAGCCCTTGCCTGCTGTGTGCCTGCTGAAGGTTGACCTCCTGTCCTGTCGTCAGTTGATTGTTATGTTCCCGGTATCCTATTTGTCAGTTCTAGGGAATGTTTCCTGTGCTGCTGACATTGTAAGAAAGTCTCTGACTGTGTCTGTATCTGAAGTTTTTAATCTACCGTTTCCTCTAGCAGTCAGCGTTTCAGTCTTGCGTTGAGATCTTAGACCCATTCTGAATAGATTCTTCTGCATGTTTGTGTGTAAATTTTCTTTGCTATTTGATGAGAAAGCCTTCTATTTTTGAGTATATCATTGGTTGTTCCTGTGTAGGTTTATCTATGGGTCCTGGATTCTACTCCATTGGCCTGCACATCTGTTTCCTGCTAGTATCAAAAGATACTGGCTCTGTAGTAAATTTGAGATTGACTTCCAGAGTGGCTGTTTTTTTACTTAGGGGTTATTTGGAATCTTTGGACTTCAATGTGAATTTTAGGATAATTTTTTTTTCTATTTCTGCGAAGTGTTTCATTATATTTTTATGGCGATTGTGTTGTATCTGTAGATCTCTTTGAACAATGGGACCATTTTTGCAGTATCCTGAGAATATACCCATGTATTCAATTTCTTCCGTGTCTTTAGAGTTGTATTTTTAGAGATCACTCACCTCTTTAGTAGATTTATTCGTTATTTTTTTAAAGCTATTGTGAATGATTTCTTTCTCAGCAAGTTTGCCGTTGATAGAAAGATTAGCTACTGTTTGCATGTTGACTTTGGGTCCTGCCTCTTTACTGATGGTTTAGAGATACAAGAATTTTTCTGATGGAACATTTAGAATTTCTTAAGTATAGGAACTGTTGTCTGGAAATTGGAACAACTTGTCCTCTTTTATTTTTTTATTTGTATCCTTTCTCTGGTCTTGCTGCTCTAAGACATTGGACACTGAATGGGAATGTGGAGAGAATGCCTTCTTGCCTTACCCTCAGTCTCAGAGGAAATGCTCTCAAGATGTCCGCATTCATAGAGTCGGCTACGGCCCCAGCTAGTCTTTGTTATGTTGGAGTGCAGGGGTCTTGTGCATTGTCAGAGGCCTGTTCTTCATCTCTTGAGATGACTGTGATTTTTGTCTTTAAGTCTGTTTGAATGCTGTGTTACATTTAACACTTAATGCTTTGTGTATGTTATTGAATCATGCTTCCAGGCTTCCTGTAATGATACTACATGAATTCTTAATGCATTTTTGAATTAGGTTTGTAAGAATTTTATTGAGAATTTTGTGTAATGTTTAGGGATATTGGTCTTATATTATTTCCTTCCTTCCTTCCTTCCTTCCTTCCTTCCTTCCTTCCTTCCTTCCTTCCTTCCTTCCTTCCTTCTTAGGCTCTTACCTGGTTTTTGTTTCGGGTAAGGCCTCATATAATGAATTTATGGTGTTCCTTCCCTGTCTTGGTTAAACAGCACGTGAAGAATCATTTTTTTTTTAAAGTTGGTGTTCTTTTCTAAACATTTTCCTGTTATTTCACAGTGTTACTGTTTGCAGTTGGCACTATAGTGTTCTACAGGTAATTTTACCCAGTCTTAGCACTAGAGCACTGTAGCATGATTAATAAAAACCCAGACACACAAATGGGACTCAACCTGGAGGTCAGAAAAGCAAAGCAGCCAACCACTGGCTCTTACCTCTACCTCAGTCCGAAATGGCGATCCTGCCTCCAGGAATCTCAGAATGAGACTGAGACTGAGCGCTGTCTCCTCCCATCTTATATTCCTCTCTAGTGCTGGGATGAAAGGATGCACCACTACCTGCTTGGTTTCTGTGGCAAACTAGTGTGGCTACTGGGATTAGAGGTGTGTGTCCCCACTGCCTGGTCTGTAAGACTGATCAGTGCTCTGAACTTCAGGCAAGCTTTCTTTATTAAAATAAAATGAAATGTCACTACAGAGCACCATGGCACAGAACTTCACTTGCTATTTCCAAGGGCTTCTTGATAAAGCATCTTCCTTAACTAATGTGCTTAAATATAGAAGCCAGTAGTCATTATAAAGTACAAACTGACATTTTGAGGAGTTGAATAACATTTATTTTCTAAATCTCTTTAGCGTTCTTCATTCTAAAAATAGATAGTTGACACTTTCCTGGTAGTGGTATGTGTTAGGCTGTGTTTGACAGTTTGGTGAATCCACGATTTTTTTTGGGGGGGGGGCTGGCTGTCCTGAAACTTACCCTTACTATGTAGCTCAGGCTTTCCTCGAACTCAAGAGATGCACCTGTCTCTGTCTGCCATGGCTTCTTTGACCTTTGCTTTGCAGCTGAGCTGCTTGTGTTCTGGAGACAGGAGTGAATGGCTACAGAAGTTTACAGACATTTTTGTTTTCTGGCTTTGGATGCCTTTCTGTTTTTTTTTTTTTTTATGACAGCAAATGTACTTTTCAGTTATGCCAATTAGTGTTCTTAGATTTAATTAGTCTCCTTTTCCCCTCTCTTTCAGGACTTGAAAGAAGCGTATGGCACCTGTAAAGTTAAATGTCACTCCTTGTCGCCACTTGGACCTTCTGCTTGAGACCTGCATGTGACTTTCCATCTGTGATCTTGGCTTCTCATATCTACTGACTTTGATTACAGAAAAGTCTCTGAAGATTCATATCAAATGACGTCAATGGCCAGCTTGTTTTCTTTCACTAGTCCAGCCGTGAAGCGATTGTTGGGCTGGAAACAAGGTGATGAGGAAGAAAAATGGGCAGAAAAGGCAGTCGATGCTTTAGTGAAAAAGCTGAAGAAGAAGAAGGGCGCCATGGAGGAGTTGGAGAAAGCCTTGAGTAGCCCAGGACAGCCAAGCAAATGTGTCACTATCCCCAGGTCCTTGGATGGACGCCTGCAAGTTTCTCACAGAAAAGGCTTACCCCATGTCATATATTGCCGTGTTTGGCGCTGGCCAGATTTGCAGAGTCATCATGAGCTAAAGCCATTGGATATTTGTGAATTTCCTTTTGGATCTAAGCAAAAGGAAGTCTGTATCAATCCATACCACTATAAGAGAGTGGAAAGTCCAGGTAGGTTTCACTTCGCTGAGAAGAATTAAGAATAAACCACCAAAAACCCAACATGGCTCTTACCGATTTGCATGTAACTAGGCTTATTACATTAGCCTTCGTTAAAGATTTCATCTTAGGAGGAATACTAGGTTTTAAATTTAGCTTTTTTGAACATTAAGCTCTTGATTGGCTGCTAGAACTCACTGTCTCTATTAACACCCGCTTCTTTTCTGTGGCTGACATCTCTGAATGCTAAACCCATGTCCCATGTTCACACTAGATCCTGCTCCTTGTTTGATTGGGAACTGGGCTGTCGTGCAGCAACTGTTTTTCTGGCTTTACATCTTACAAGTCTTTATTGTTACATTTACTGTGTGCGTGTGTGTGTGCTTGCGTGCTTGCATATGAGATGACACGTGGAGATCAGCGGGCTATTTCCAGGAGTCAGGAGGTCTTCCTGGATCTTGTTACTCAATTTTCATTGCCTAGGACAGTTCCCTTCACTAGTTGTTAGTAGGTACTGGCCAGTATTTTTCTTTTTAATCAGTGAATTATATATTAGTCCTTTTATTGATGCTATAGCAGAATACCACAGACTGGAAAAGTTCACTCTGCTGAGAAGACTCCAAAACACAGCCAACATGTCTCTCTGATTTGCACTTACCTAGGTTTATTAGCTAAAAGTTTACATGAGCCTTTGTTAAAGATTAACAATAGAAATCCTGGGGGTAGAAAGTCCAGGATTAGGAGACTGTCTGGTGCGGGCCTCATAATCAACTGTGCTCCGAGCAGTGCTCAGGTGTGGGTGAGACAGAGAAGGACCGAGTGAAGCTAGAGCGTCCGTAAGGACACCTGTGGTGCTGGGATCCAGACCAGTCTCGTGCATGTTAGGCATGGGCCCCATGGGCTACCCCCCAGCCCAAGTCACCAAGGAGTCCACCTCCACAGGTACTACCTCATCGCTTCCTGTTAGGCCCCACCTCCCAGCATTGCCATGTTGTGAATTTTCTGGTGCATGAACTTCTCAAGATTTTCTATAGCAGCTGAGATACTAGTTGGGATCTTTATCTGTTGATGAACAATAAATAACCGTACCTGTGGTAGTTTAAGCACAACACACATTTATTACCTTACAGTTTCTGGGGTTCAGGCATCTGAACTACCCTTAACAGGTGACTACCCTTAACAGCATCTTTTTTGAGTTTCTAATCAAGGTGTCTGTCAGGGCTTGGTTTTTTTTGGAAGTTCAGACAGGTAAGGGGTTCCTGTGCTACTGACAAGATTCAGTTCCTGTGGAGGCCCCTGGACTCTGGCTGACTGTCGGCTGGAGACTGTGTCAGGAGTTCACCTTTCTGTGTGTTCTACACTGCCGTTCCCTCGCACTGTCACAGTTGCTCTCTACAGAGGCTTCTCAGAGCATGCATGTTATTTCTTCAGAGCCAGGAAGAGCATTTCCTACTAGAGGGCATTGAGTTCTTAGCAGTGTGACCTTGCACCCCCATTACTTTGCCATAATTCTGTTGGCTGGAAGCAAGTCCTCGGTCGCATGCTGGAGAGAGAGAGGACTGTCCAAGCTCATGAATACCCAGAGCCTGTCTTCCGTACTAGAAGAACTGCAATGCAAGCCTGTGTGGTTGGATGCAGAAACTTGTGTTACAGTTCAGCTGTGAGTTGCAGTTCTTATTTGAGAAGGGTCTCAGTTTCTTATGGAGCCCAAGAAGAGCCTTGGTGTGAGGGAACTGAGGAAGAAAGAACAAGGCAGATTTAAAGGAAGAATATTGTCTGAAAATTGAAAAATTCTCAAACTAGGTATTTACTAGCAATCCATGTAAGGATTTTGTCTGTTCCTTCTCATAGTCAAAGTGTAATCGACAGTGGTCAGTACAATTGTCTTTCTTTTAATCCACTTTATTGTTCTGTGGAAAGGACGGGAGCAATTATGATACTTTACAATAACTTCAGAAATAGCTCGCTAGTTGAGTTGCTAGAAAAAGACTATAGAAACCTCATATTGGTCCCCCGCCCACACGTCTTGGGAGGGTGTAGCCTTATTCAGGAGTGATTGGTGTTCCTCCTTGACCAAGCAGGAAGGACAGTAGATGCCTCATCTCCTGGTCTGTGCTAGTAAAAAGGGTGTTGCTGATTATGGTGACAGTGAGCAGTTTTGAGCACTCATGAACAGAAGTGCTCTCCTAATTCTGGGCTTCGTTTGTTGTAGAGGTAGACAGAAAGCCATGACTTTTCATGGCATTGAAGTCTATTAACTCTTAAGTCTTAACTTACACAGAGCACACAGTGAATGCGTGAGAAAAAGATGGGAGGTATAATGAGCCTAGAAAAGTAAGGCCAACCTAAATGTTCCAGTATTTTTTTGACTAGAAAGTATTATCTGGTGGCTGAGAGGTTGGTTTCTAGAGTTATGGTTTTACTATATAGTTATTACCTGTCCTCAGGCAGGATACAAAATCTCCTTGATGGAGACAGTACTAACAACCTAACTGTGTTTTGGGGGAGATTGTTTGAGTCAGTGTGGATCTAAGTGCTTAAACATTATGTAGCCCCAGTCAGTTTCAAATCAAGATCATTTCTCCAGAGGGATCCATTCTGGAAACAGAGCATATGGGGAGTGGGAGGAGAAAATTTTCAGTAAACACTGTTGCAGCTACTTTGAACTGAAAATGCAAGAGCCAAGTAATTAGCAAAAGGACTGAAAAAGACCTACTGATAGAGTTCTAGTTAATCATGTGTATGGATATTCTGAAAGCTTCCAGAAAGAAAATATAGGGCACATAAAAACAAGAACAAACAAAAGCTAGAAATCTAAATTATTGCATTTCTTAATCCAATTCTGGATCCTAGAAGAAAATGAATCATTTATCTTCAAAATCCAGAAGGAAACTATGGCCTGGATTTCTGTATGTAGAGACATGAAAGGGAGAATAATTTCATACATGTTTTCCATTCCGTTCTTAGGAAGCAAGTAGAGGGCAAAGTCAGGAAAGGGGACCCAGCCAGAGAAACAGTCCTAAGCAGCAACTAGGACAGATAGAGCAAAGGACTGAACACTCCAGAGGAACACAACACAGCAAGTCCATAATTGTTTGATTTATAGCATCTGAAAAAGGTGCTATTGACGGGCTCTGACAAGTGGGTTAGGATACTGGAAATGTGAGTGATGTGTACTTAAAATTAAGGAAATCATTAACTTTAACAAAAAACACTGCTCAGGAGGAAAATGCACAGTATACTTGATTCCTCAATTGATTTTGTGTGTGTGTGTATAATATGTATGTATGATAGTGTATAGGACATGCATATGTAGTAACACTACATACCAACTGAGCCCAGATTTTAAAAAATAGGTTTTATGTGTATGGGTATTTTGCCAGCATCTTGTGTGCCTGAAGAAGCCAGAAGACAGCATCAGATCCTGTAAAAGTGGAGTTAGAGACTGTTATGATCTGCCGTGTGGGTGATGGGAATCAAACCTAGGTTCTCTCTCTCTCTCTCTCTCTTTTTTTTTTTTTTTTTTTTTTTTTTTTTTTTTTTTTTTTTTTTTTTTTTGGTGTTTTGAGACAGGGTTTCTCTGTAGCTTTTCAGCCTGTCCTGGAATTAGCTCTGTAGACCAGGCTGGCCTTGAACTCACAGAGATCTGCCTGCCTCTGCCTCCCGAGTGCTGGGATTAAAGGATTAAACTACTGAGCCGTCTCTCCAGCCTCTTAACCCAATTTTTAATAGATTAGGGAAATAGAAAGGGCTAGACTACTATAAGAAAGATGCCTCAGCTAGTAGTCATAGTTCTTGGGAGGCCAAGGCAGTAGGATTGCTGTGTTTGTGGCTAGTCTGTGCAGCAAGACTGTTTGAGTTTCCCCCACCAACAAAAACAGTTGCTTCATTTACCATAAGAGAAGTTTATAAATAATGTCATAGAATCAATAATAACAGTTTATCATAGTATGCATATAGGATGCATCGCAGTGCCCAGCGTAAACAAGGTCTGTGGAGGAGTTACAACAGAAAGCGCTCAAAATCCTTGCATGCTGTCATCTCTTACTAAATATGTTAGACTTGTCTCTTACTCTCCACATATTATTTTATGTGAAAATAAAAAAAAATAAAATCTTTTGCATAGATAGTATACAAATGAGAGGGAAAACAGGGATTTTAATTATGCCTACAAAAATACCTTGACTGAACTGAATTCTTTAGTTATTTTACTGTTTTTCAGATTGCTGGATAGCTAAGTATAAATCCTTCCTAATTTCTACTCTGCTCTGCAGGCAGCTGTCTCGCCTTTCTCTAGCGATAGCTGTTGTTACTACATAAGAGAGCAGAGCACTGGCTGCAGGATCCTTATGTGTGTCTTTACTTCTGAGAGGTGAAGGATGACCTGGTTAGCATATATATTTGATTTTGTTGCTGCTGCATAGTCCAGAGTCAAATTAAATTCTTTTTCTTCCCCCTGAAATGGAGTTAACATTGACAACTAAAAGAACATTGTGAAAGAGATAATCGGTACATTTACTTTCCTGCAGAAGATAATCAGCTGTTCCTCATTATAGTTGGGGTCTTTAGAGATGGACATTCGGATAAAGGAAACTACTCGATTACATTCTGAGAGGTTGTTACATGTGTCCTTATGATTGTATTTAGAGGGCTGACTGTGAGCAGGCTCTCACTCTGGAGGGTTGTTGGATGGACGAGGAGAGCCTTACCAGTTTGCTGAATGCTGAACGTGAGCTCTCTGACCAACTGGAAATGCTCAGGGCACCGCATGCTGACCTCCACTTCCTCCCTAGTCTTAACCTCTGCCTAGATCGGTGCTAGACCAACTCGCTGTTTCCTCCCTCCTCACCGCCTCTCTTCTCTCCTAGCTTTCTCATGGGAAATCCTCTTGTTGCATCAGGTGTTACCCTTTCCATGTATTTGGTTTCCTGCTGGCTAGATATGCTCACTTCTTGAGTTCTTATTAATTGCATTAAATGTTTCTTATTCTAACTGCTTTTGAAATGGCTTACATGGAGAATGGCATCCTTTCTGAATTTCTGCTTCTGGAGTCCCTCATATAGGCTAAATGCCAGAGGGCTTTTGGTTTGGTTCTGATGTAAACACAGATTCAGATTCTACAGAACACTGCCCCCATCAGTTAACTTTAATCACAGCTTGCTTCTCTTTTCTCCTCCAGCCCCTTAAGTGTTCCTGACTGGCTGTTGTTTTTCTTTCAGTCTTACCTCCAGTGTTAGTGCCTCGCCACAATGAATTCAATCCGCAGCATAGCCTTCTGGTTCAGTTTAGGAACCTGAGCCACAATGAACCGCACATGCCACACAACGCCACGTTTCCGGATTCCTTCCAGCAGCCCAACAGCACCCCTTTCCCCTTGTCTCCTAACAGCCCCTACCCCCCTTCCCCCGCCAGCAGCACATACCCCAGCTCCCCAGCAAGCTCTGCACCAGGAAGCCCATTTCAGCTCCCAGGTAAGACTGAGAGTGGGAATTGTTTGAAGGGCTGCTTCTGAGTGAGATTGCTGTGGGGGACATTTTCTTTAGGAATTTATTTCTACAAGAAGTAGAGTTTATTTTTCAAGTTCCATTATGTTCAAAAATCTGGAAATAAGGGTATTAAGTATAAATGTTAATTTGCTGTTAGGCGTTGTCTCAAATGAATACTTTCATCTTAGATTCAGTGCTATATGTAGCTCTGTCTTAATACATCCTGTGTAAACCTTGAGGCAAAAGACAACTTCTATTCAGTTTTATATTTATCGAAACAAAAAGATCTAGCTGTAGCTTTCGCAAAAATTCACAACTTTGAGTGTTGGCAGGCCAAAATTTCGTTAACGTTTCCGAAGCTAATTGCTCTGTCATTTAATGGGGCATGTTAGTTATTTGGGGGCATTACAAAAGAATGAGATAACTTCAAAAAGTGCATTTTGAAGGGACACAGTTTTAGAGGACACTGCAGTATGTGATGATAATGATGGCAATTGAAAATGTACCTGTAGTATGTGTCCAAGGTGGTCTGTGGCCGCACATTGCTGTGTTAGCTGCAGTTTCTTTGAACATAGATAGCTTTAAAAGAAAGAGAAAATTTTTGACCTTGGTTCCACTTTAGTGTTGTTCCTGGTATCCGGGATTACCGAGGGTCCAAGTTAATGTAGGCTTGTAGTAGGTGTGCTGGAGAGGTTGTGTGTGCTCTTTTCTGCTCTTGTATAGTGTCCTATATCTGTGTGTGCATTGTTCTGTAGTGAATCCTGCTGATAACCTTGTCAATTTAAAAATGCTTTTAGAGTAATAGCTTTAAGCAGAATGAAGACTGTCTTCTTTGAGGAATGGATGTGTCTCATTTTTTTGCTCTTAGCGGATACACCTCCTCCTGCCTATATGCCCCCCGAGGATCAGATGGGACAGGATAACTCCCAGCCCATGGACACAAGCAGTGCCGTCATCCCTCAGATCATGCCCAGCATATCCAGCAGAGGTGAGAAGAGTGCTTCCTGCTTCCTTTAACTGCTTGACCACTTTTCTTGACAGTGCTAGGAATCCAACCCAGGGCCCTCCTACTCTAGGTAAATAATCTCCCACTGAGTTAATTTCCCAATCTTGGTCACTTGTGCAAACAGCGTGAATGGAGTATGGCTGTAAAATCAACTGAGTGTGCAGATCAGTGGTTTGGGCAAGTATATGAAATTTTGGTTCAAAATGTAGTTTACAAACATTGCCATAACCTTTCCAAAGAGATTTCCACCTCACCCTGAGTTCAACAAACCTCTGTTCTCTATACAGATATTTTTCTGAATATTTCATAAAATAGAGTCATGGGGAAAAAAAAAGGCCAGGCGGTGGTATTGTACACCTTTAATTCCAACACTTGGGAGGCAGAGGCAGGTGGACCTCTGTGAGTTCGAGGCCAGCCTGGTCTACAGAGGAAGTTTCAGGACAGGCCCCAAAGCTACAGAGAAACCCTGTCTCAAAAAACCAAATATATACATATATAGCGTCATGGGGACAGTGAGATGGATTAGTGGGTAAGTGCACGTACTGCTAACCCTGATGATCATGCCAGGGACCTGAGTTTGTTTACCAAGAGGCACATGGTAGGAGAGGAATCCCCTCCTAGATAGTGTAATAAAAGTGCACTGGTAGATAATATATTTAAAGATTTATTTATTTTTGTTCTCTGTATATGCTTTGCCTGCATGCGTGTATGGGTGTTGTGAACTGAATCTGGGTCCTCCTCAAACAGTATGTGGTCTAAACCACTGAGCCATCCCTACAGCTTCCAAATATAATCCTTTAGATTGTATTTCATTCACTTAGCACAGTGTGTCAAGGTCGCCTATGGTGTAGGAGTGTTCAGCAGACCTTTGAGTGGTTGCAGTTGGATTAGTATTCTGAGTAGCTGCACCCTTAGAGCACTGTGTACAGGGCTTTGTGTAGGTACTGTTTTTTTTTTTTTTTTTTTTAATCTTGGGTAGATGCCTATGAGCAGAATTTCTGATCAGAAGGTAAGCTTAACTATTTGAGAATAGCCAGACTTTTCCAGTGTGGCTGCCAATATCTGTCTACTTTCTATCTAAAGTCTAGCTTCTCCATACCGTCCCAGTACTGTTACCGCCTAGCTTTTGAAGGGTTATTGTACCCAATGGGTGTGAGGCACTCACTGGATTTCATTTGTACGCCCTATAGAGTACTGACGTACAGATACTAATGTACTTATGCATTTTCATCAAGTTGCTGGAAAAGAGTTTGACTTGACTAATTTAAACCTGTATTGGTTTACTGTAGACCTGTTTCAGAGGTGCTGTTGCTGCTGCCTTTGGGATTGTGTCTTCCCAAGTTAAGTAGAGAACTTTAAGCCCCAGTCTGGTTGTATTTGGAAATGTGGGCTTTCGGGATGTAATTGGGTCTGAATGAGATCATAAGGATGGAGTCATCCTAGTGAGGCTAGTGCCCCTATGAGAAGAGGAGTTCCCTTGTTCTCTCTCTGTCCTTGAGCACAAGCCAAGGAAAGGCTATGCTAGCAAAAAGCAGGAGGGTAGTGGTCTACAAACCAGGAAGTAGCCCCTCATTAAACATGGAAGTTGCCTGGATTCCTTGCCTCCAGGACTGTGAGAAATAGAGTTCTGTTGCTCACCTCAGCCATCGTGGGTTTCCTGGAGCATCTGAAGCCACTGATACAGAAGTTGATACCTAGAATGTGGTGCTGTTGTACAGATACCTAAGAATATGGCTATGGTTTTGGAACCAGTAGATACTGGAGAAAGGGCTTGTGAAGTGGCTGATAAAAAGGAGTAAAGAATCTTTGCATTTTTTTTTAAAGGAACATACTAATTTTGTGTTTAGAATGTGGTGGGAATATAGTGCTGAGCCCGATGCTTCTGCACTCAGGCCTAATTGAAAACACTGGAAGATGGAGAAAAGGCCTTCCTTGTAACAAATTGGCAGCTTGGTTGGATTATGTTGATGTTCAAGTGTTTTGGGGAGGGAAGAACTATATAGCTGCAAAATCAGTTACTTAACTGAAGATATTCTTAAACCAGTCAAAATATGACTGGTTTTTCCTGATTGCTAATAATAAAATATGAAAAGATTAAAAAGGAAACTCTTACTTAAAAAATAACTTAAGATTTAAGAGATAGTTCATGCTGTACACATTGTAAATAGGAATGTGTGTTTGGAGAAGAACTAAGGATTTTGTTTACATTTAAGAGTGGCCTGATCAGGCCCCTCTGAACCATGATTAATAAAAGCTCAATTAATAAAAACTCAGGATCAGAAGAAATTGGGTTTCAACCTGAAGATTTGAAAAGCAAAACAGCCACTCACTGATTCTTACCCCAACCTCAGTCTAAGATGGCGATCCTACCTCCTGGAATCTCAGAAGGAGACTGTGTCTCTGAGAGCTGTTTCCTCCCATTTTTAATTCTCTCTAGGGCTGGGATTAAAGGTGTGTGCCATTATGGCTACTGAGATTAAAGGTGTGTGTTACCATTATCTGGTCTGTAGGGCTAACCAGTGGGACTGTTCTACTCTCAGATCTTCAGGCAGTCTTTGCCTTTAATCCCAGCACTCGGGAGACAGAGACAGGTGGATCTCTGTGAGTTCAAGACCAGCCTGGTTTACAAGAGCTAGTTCCAGGACAGGCTTCAAAAGAGAGAGAGAGAGAGAGAGAGAGAAAAGAAAAAAATGCTGCTATACTCTTCCTCCATCAGGAACAGAGTTAATTTGAGTTGAAGGTAGGTGGATTAGGGGTAAGGAAGACTGTTAGACTTTTACAAGGCAGGACATTTAAGCTCTTTGGTTGTAAGCTCAAAAGAGCTGGCCTGGAGGGTGATTGTTTCATCGGGTTGCATGGACCAAGGGCTGAAGATGCTTAGAGCACAGCTCTCTGCAATGCACAGTTGAGCTCTATCACAGCTGAAGAGGCTTAACTACAGACCTTACAGTTTTTACTGGTGTGAATTAAGTCTCTTGGAACTTGGGAGATAAGATTCGTATATGTTTTGCATGTGAGACAGAGGTGAAATAGTAATGGACCTAATTTTAAGTCCTTCCGATTGTGTTGAAACCCTACCCCTCAGTAAATGCTGTTAGAGATAGGGCCTTTTAAGAGGCAGTTAGGTTTAAATAAATTCCTGAGATTAGGGCCTTCAAAATAGTTACTTTTCCTTACATATTAGACATGGAGGCCAATGGGTAAACGTGCTTGCCTGGGCAAGCCTAGTGACTAGACTTCAGATCCCTGAAACACTGTACAAAGAGCGATAGCATGTCTCTGTGATCTCAGCCCTTCTGCAGTGAGATAGGAAGTGGATGCAGCCTGGAGTATGTAAATAAAGCAGAGACAAGGAGATCCTGACACACACACACACACACACACACACACACACACACACAGAGTATGCTCTGAAGACCTTATAAACACACAGCAAGAGGACAGGCAGCTCTCTGTTTATGTAACAGGAAGTGAGTCTCTACTAGACAGCACATCTGTTGACACCTTGGCCCCTGGAACAAACTGTGGGAGATAATTGTGGTTTTGTTATTGTTGTTTTGCTTTGAATTTAAGCTGTTCAATCTGTGGTATTTTGTTAGAGCTGTCTGAGCAGACCAAGATAAGTTGTCTTGGACTCTAAGATAGAAATCTCAGTGAAATTTAAATGAAGTATCTATTTTATTTGTTATATAATGCTTGGTTAGGCCTAAGGGTAAATAAATATTCACAGAACCTGGTGGTTTAGCTAATCAGTTATTAAACTTCTTTTCTGTTTTCAGATGTTCAGCCTGTTGCCTATGAAGAGCCCAAACACTGGTGTTCAATTGTCTACTATGAACTGAACAACCGTGTAGGGGAAGCTTTCCATGCATCTTCTACTAGTGTGTTAGTAGATGGATTCACAGACCCTTCGAATAACAAAAGTCGGTTCTGCTTGGGATTGCTGTCAAATGTGAACCGTAATTCAACCATTGAAAACACTAGGCGGCATATTGGAAAAGGTAATCTTGAATTTCTTTCCATGCCGTTGAAGGAAGTCCTTTTTTTTATATTTTTGTATTATCTGGGTACAATTCATTGCAGAAGGTACTGGAAACATCCAAAAAATCTTAAGGCATGGCTTTTGCCTCAAGTTGCAGGTTTAAAGAATGTTATCAAATAAAATGACGGTAAGTGTGGTCCTGCTCAGTTTCTGTTTCTAGTACTAGAGACCTGAAGTCCTGTTGTCTGCTTTGTCAAGTTTCCCTAACAGTCAATTAAGTCAATTAAGTCAGGGCCTAAACGAAAAGTAAGAAACATATATAGAGAGAGAGTAACCAGAGTCAAGGAGACACCGTGTAGCTGCTGAAGAAGGAAGAGAAGGACCTATCGGAATCTTTCCGGTAAGCCACAGCGTTGTGGCGATACACAGATTAATAGAAATGAGTTAGATTAAGATGTAAGAGCTAGCTAGAAATATGCACAAACCATTGGCCAAACAGTTTTGTAATTACAGTTTCTGTGTGATTATTTGGGTCTGAGTGGCTGGGAAACAAACGTGCGGTCTCTGCCTACAAGCCTCCACAGAAGCACACAAACAGACTGCATAGGAACCTGTGTGTAACTTAATCTGATGCATGAGATAAGGTTTAAAAGGATATACACCAAAGTCAGAGCAGTGTCTACTTATGGCTAAGAAAAACTCGAGCTAATTCCTAGATATATTGGAGAAGTATTTGGTAAATTTTACTATTAGAACTATTAGTTAAATTTTACTACTAGAACTGCTTTCTCATAGTATTTTTAAGTATATTTGTAGAAAACTTTAATAAATTGTATTTTACTATTTTGTGTGTATGTATTTTACTATAGGTATGTCTGTGCACCATATGCATACAGTGCCCTCAGAGGCCAGAAGAGGAGGGTCTCCTGGGACTGGAATTAAAGATGGTTTTGAGCCTCTTTGTAGGTGCTGGGAATCCAACGTGGGTCCTCTGCAAGAGCAGCCAGTACTCTAAACTGCTGAGTCATTGCTCCAGTTTCATGAAGGGTGAGGGGGGAGAGTCGGCTTTTTAAAAGAAAGGAAAATGAGTCTGCCATTTCAAAGCTCTTTCTTATAATCTGAAGTCACATCGTATGTTTGGATTTCTGTGGGTGATGGTTGAAATGTTGTGGTCCTGTTTGTCAGCAAATGGTGGAAAACTTCACTAATTTTTATGATTGACATACCAGGGGTTTCTTTGAAAGTACTCATAGAGTGAATTTTTAAAGAGCATCTTTTCTTTGGTAGAGAAACAAATGATGGTTGGAAGAGCAAACGTGGTGCAGTCCCAAGGATCTTTTAGTTAGGCTGATTATTTTTGGCTACTGAAGGCCATCTAGTGGTGGTTGTTGGCATTTGTTGTGCCTTTCTAGATGCTGTGGTTCCTCCACACTTGTCTGGCTCTCTGCGGTGCTTTGCTCAGCCTCTCTCTGGTCACTTCTCTTTCAGGTGTTCATCTGTACTACGTTGGTGGGGAGGTGTATGCCGAGTGTCTTAGTGACAGCAGCATCTTTGTTCAGAGTAGAAATTGCAACTTCCACCATGGCTTCCACCCCACCACTGTCTGTAAGATTCCCAGCAGCTGCAGCCTCAAGATTTTTAACAATCAGGAATTTGCCCAGCTTCTGGCTCAGTCTGTCAACCATGGGTTTGAGGCTGTGTATGAGCTCACCAAGATGTGCACCATTCGAATGAGTTTTGTCAAGGTGAGTGGTTTGATCTCTACTATGACTTTAGTCATTGTAAATATGTACACATTATTAAAAATTACTAGATGAAGCTAATCACTACTTTTGACTCAGTTTGATACATTGCAAGTGAAGTCTCAAATTTAACATTTTAACCATCTGACAGGTTATTTCATTTTATAATATACATAAAATCCTTGATAATTTTGATATTGGGTAAAGATTAAGTTTATAAAATATTTCAGTTAGCAGACTAAATTTTCGGAAAGCATTTAATATTATAATTGCATTTTGAGTGCCTCAGATTCCATGGCAGTGACCGTGAGATTGAATTATAGTGCTAACTTACTTTGCTGTGGCTCAGTCCTCTTACAAAGGATTTCTAAAACCTATCATTTACTTTTTTGTTGTTGTTTGTTTTGTTTTTAGTCATTTTCAAGACAGGGTTTTTCTGTGTAGCTGTTATGGAACTCACTCTTAGACCAGACTGGCCTTGAACTCAGAGATCCGCCTGTCCGTGCCTCCCAAGTGCTGGGATTAAAGGTGTGTGCCATACTCACCTGGCCAGAATGACACTGTCATTTACTCTTGTGGCCTGCTGTTACTGAACATTCCAAAGATTGTGTCTCATTAGCAAAATGTTGAGGAAGTTCCACAGTTGGCTCTGCTCCATCCTGGTGCTGGAGGGTTAGCAAGGAGAGCAGCGGCACAGTGTGTGCAGTCTGTGTGCTTGCTTGTGTTATGTTGTTGTGGTTGTGTTGTGTGTTTCAGTTTTTGGCATTTAATCCCAGTCTACTGTTTCCTTGCTGCTTGTCAGTCATATGAATTTACTTTCTCTTCCCTTTTTGAAATATGGCTTTGTCTTTTATTCTCCTGTCTCTCTTCATTTCCTCTACTTCCCTGGGGCAAGGAGCACTATAAACAGAAAGACAGAATTTGATAAATCAAGAAAATAAAAAGTAAAAATTATATATATGTATTTCTGTTTTTATCTGAAAGTTACTTTATCTTATTAATTTCTCACCTTTAAGAATAATGGCTTAATGTAATTACTAGAGGAAATAAAAAACAGACAACAGAAAAAGCCCCAAACCCTGAAGACCTTTTTCTGTGAGAGATCATAGTCTATGGCCTTTGTAAAATTAAAAACATTCCAAAATATACTTGTCCCCATGGGTCTATATCAGAAATTCTGTTATTTATTAAAAGTTTATAGCTTTGAATAATGCAACTATTTTCTTTTAATAGCATGTCACATGAATGCTGATTGGTTTTCTATAGGTGTTCAGTTTAAGTATACTTTTTGTGTTTTTACAGTTAAACTTTTATTGTTAAAGTTAGTATAGACTGTTGACTGTTCAAGAGGGATTTGCTTTGCTGTCTGTTCCTTTTCAGGGCTGGGGAGCAGAGTACCATCGCCAGGATGTTACTAGCACTCCATGCTGGATTGAGATTCACCTCCATGGGCCTCTTCAGTGGCTGGATAAAGTCCTTACTCAGATGGGCTCTCCTCTGAACCCCATTTCTTCTGTTTCATAGTGCAGAAGTATTCTTTTCAACTATATTTTTACTGGACTTGTTTTAATTTTAGAAGAATTTCCAGTACAGATGCTGTGAGCTGACATGGAAAAACAGATATTATTGCTTATTTTTTCTACATAATTGTGACCAACACATTTGTATTTTGTGATGAATTTACATTTGTTTGTATTCATGTTCATTGTAACTTTCAAAAGTATTGTAAACAATGTAGAGTATTTTGCCCCCATTGAGAAGTTTGGCATTGATGTTAAACTGGAACATACTTTTGTTTATTGTCCCAACTGTTTTTTACAAGGCAGTGCACCACATAATGAAGATTTTCCTGGAAGAGGGCATGGCATGTGGAAAGTCCTAGGTGATGAGTTTCTAGTCAGGTCTTTGTCCTGCCACCTTTGAAAAAGCATAGTACATTGTTTTGCAAAGACATGGTAGGAGCTTAAAGGAAACTATTGAATCTATTTGAAGGATACTGTGCACTCCTGATGTGTTTGGTGAAAGCAAGGTGGTGGATCTCTAGATGTCATAATTGACATTTAGTGGAGCTGGTGTTTGTCAGTGTAATGTGACTCTGTGCTATATATCGTTTGTAAAACATTTCCTTTAAAATGCCTAGTATCTGTCATTTACTCAAGTTTGTCATAAGTTTTATTGAACAGTTCAGTGTGTACATGGCCTTGTTCAGCTGTGTTTGCTGCTTTGGGCCAGTGTTTCAAGAACTCTAATTTTAATGTGCATTAACCTTTTCATTTTGCACTTTTATGGGTGACAGTTTTAGTGTGACCTGCGCTAGAACAGTCAGGTGACCTGATCTTAGCTCTTCCCTTTACTTCCTTGGCACTCCTTTGTATCAGCACTGCCATTTAGAGATTCCAGTTGTGCGATGTGATGCTTTCCCTAGCTTTTATCTTTTAATCCAATGTATGAAGTTGTTATTCTATAGCTCCAACTAAGGTGCCTGTTAATTCCATACAGTTTTATGGGTGTTATTAATGTTGAAAGATCATATACTTAATCCTATTGCTCTTACACCAGACTTTCCATACACGAACCTATGCAGTGTGGCCATCAGGCTCTTTGAGTGGGTCCTGAGGATGAGACTCCTGGTGTGCTGGTGACCGAGTCATCAGTGGGGGTTGGGATAGCGCATTTGTAACGTCATGTAACAAAGCATGTAGACTTGTCTCTCTCAGCATCAATGCTTTGCCTTTTTCTTTTATTCTTTTAGAGCTTACCTTGATGCTAGTCTCCCAGAACACCATCTTGGATGTCAATGCTCTAAGACACCCATTTAGTTCACTGTGCCTTTGGCCTTAGGGAACAATCAGAAGGACAGTTTTGGCCTGAGAATGAAGACACTACTTTGATAAAGAAAAAAAAATGACCTAATTTCCCTATCAGAACGAGAAGCTTGATTTCCTGGTGCCACTTTATTCTGCTGCTGAAAATGTTATTTTGGTTTGACTTTTTATAATGCCCTTCCTGCCGTTATGGGGAAAACAGCTTTTTGGGGGGTGGGGGTGGGGGAGGCATGAGTCCCCTTGTTTTCTGTGTCATTATTTATTGCCTTTCAGAGTGTAGCCATTGGGTGGCTTCATTCCTTCCAAGAAGTGCTTTGCTGGGCCTTCAGTAGCTTGAGCCTTCATGGCGCAGTCTTTAGAGCAAGTTTGCAGGTTTCAAGTTGAATGCCAGGTACCCGTCAAGTGAGCTCTGCTGAAGTCTGGAAACAAGTGCCTTGCTAGTTCCTTTGTTCAACAGTGAGTTGGTTATGTTGTTTGTCCACAGTCATGTCACAGCCCTCCGGTTGCAGGGTTCTGTGTGAATGGTAGGACTGAAGCTCTTAGCTGTCCAGAGTTTCATGGAGAAGTCCAAACCTATTTCCTAAAAGTTGTCAACATCACATCTGTGTCTGTAAATGAAAAGTGCAGTCTGTCTGCCTGCTCCTGTAATGTCTAAGGACATACTTACGTCTGTGGGTAGGAAAAAAAGTGCGCAAAGCAAGTGCAGAACTCTGGCCTGCAAGAAGCCGTTCAGAAGGGTGTGGCTGCTTGGCATTTGTGAGGAATGCTTGTCCTCAGACCCAGAGCAGCAGCCTTACGTCTCTCTGTGATGAGTCTCCTGCAGCCCGGACTGGCATTGACCCTGCTAACTTGCTGAAGGTGGCCTTGAGCTTCTGGTCCTTCTGTGTCTACCTCTCAAATGCTGGGATGACAGATGGCCACTTTTGTACCCGTCTCTGTGGTGTTGAGGATCAGACTCAGGACTTTATGCATGCTAGGCGAGTGCTCTACCAACTGAGTGACATCTCGAGTTCAGTGGCCACATTTTTAGTGTGCAAAATATATTAATATATGCCAGATAAAATGACAGATTTGCAAACAATGGAAATTGCCATCAGTTTGGTGAATTCTACAAATAGTAGAATCAAAACTCAGTCATGGAATACAGCAACAAGATGCATGTAGGAAAAGCATGGCCTGAGGAGGCCGTTTGACTTGTCCGTCTGCAGGATTAGCATGACGGCCTGGTTGTTGTTACCAAACTAAACTGAGGAGACCATTTGACTGGTTCATCTGCAGGGTAGCATGATGGCCTGGTTGTTGTTACCAAACTAAACTTACGGCCTCTAAGTAGTAGGCATGCTGTTGGCCATCCAGAATGACTACTCTGCTTTAGAGAAAGCTGTAGGAAGAAGTCAGTTTTAAAATCACAAACAAATAGAACAGAATAGGAATCTTTTTCTGTGTTGTTTCATGGTTGCTTGTATATAAAAAGTGGTCGTGGAAGTATCTGGATTGCCAGCGTGAGACCAGTATTAAGATTGCTAAATACACACTTGAGCCAGCTACACTAATAATGCAGGTAGGGAATGTGCCGGTGTTAACGTGTGGACACCCTTGGGGGTGTAAGTGGCGGTGACATTGCCATACGAGATGTACTGTCGAAGTGAACACTGGGACTGCCAGTGACACCTCATGAAACCGAGTCGGGGGTGTGATGTGCCCGTGTTGCCGAGAGCACCGCGGTGGCGCAGGCCCGGTCCTCGTGCCTTTCCTAGCCATTTCCCTGGAGCACTTGGATCGTCTTCCTTTTCTCACTTCAAGTTTTGTCTCCTTTTGATACCTGAAGATGAAATATTCTTAAAAATTACTGGTTTTTAAAGATTTATTTCCTTGGGTTTTTGTTGTTTTGAGACATAGTTTCTCTATATAGCCCTGGCTAACATGGAAATTACTGTGTAGGCTAACCTCAAACTTGAAGTAATTCTCTTGCCTCTGCAGTTCTGGGGTTACAGGCACATGGCTCGGTACAGTGACCTCTGATGGTTTTTAGAGTTCAGCCTCAGGTGATGGTGCGCATTTAGACCTATTATCTTTAAAGTGCTCTGAACCCCTTCTTTGTCTACCAGGTAAATCCTTTGCTGTGTGGGGTCTTAGTAAAAATGTATGTTCTCAGTATCACACAGCTAAATAACCAGGCAGCTTTTAATGTAGGTGACTTGTGGTTTTAGAAGCGTTTCTTGATCTTAGGGGAGGGGATTTTCCTAAGCGGTGGTTTGTAGGGACTCCGATACTAAGGAGAATAACCTCTTGAAGGTAATCTCCGGTGCGTGGCTGTTTCCTCACAGTGGTAGGGGTTTCTCCTTTGGAATGTGCCAGTTCTTAGAAGTTTTGTTTAATAAGATGCATGTATAGGAAGTGAGCATTGAAGGCATTTGTTCTACACTAACAGTTTTCTGTCTGCTGGACGGACACTTGAACAGTTCTGTAGACTGTTGGGCTGCAGTGAAGTGTGTGCTGATAATGGCCAGCAGTGGTTAGCAGTGGCCTCAGTGGTGGAGCACTTCCCTGGCAAGCTAAAGCCCTGTGTTTAGTCCCCAGCACTGCATAAACCAAACCAAACAGCTCTTAGATGCACCAGTACTGTAACTGAAGCGACTACCCACAACTGGATGGTGTCAGAACCAAGGACAACAGTCTTAGCGACATCCTAAAAAGTGAGAATCCATGTTAGAACACTTAGCCGGTGACGGTTGCTGCTCAATGATGACCTCGTCCCCTGCCAGGATCCAGTGCTGGAGCATTGGACCTCAGAAGAGGAGTTTGTGTCCTTGTCCAAGTGAAAATCAGCATAAACAGCTACCATTTAAGGATTTGTTTGAAGTGCTCTTCTTAAAAATCCCCTAATTTTCTGTGCAGATGGGACACCTGCTGGCTCCCGCCCCGCTGTGGGTCCTGTTTGTTACTGTGAACTGGTGTTAGCCATAACTGTGCCCCAGTTAGGCCAAAGAGTCGGTCCTAAGTTCTTTTGAAAGAAGGTTTTTTAGAGTCGGCTGTCCTCTTCTGATGCCATTGGCGGTGCTGCTGCTTTGGCATTCTATGGAGCTACAGTATGGGGATCGTAAGTAATGATTGTTGGGCCGTGGCACTTTAGTATGCCTGGTTAAAGTTGCAATCTGAGTTCACTTACTTAAATTTGGGTAGGGATATAGTCATGGAGAACGAATAGCTGGTGTGTCCCTGCCTTTTCCAAGGAAGACCTCTCCCATGTGGATGGTGGAGAGCAAGAGCCGACAGCTGCACTGTGGTCTGCTTGCCTGCATTGGGCCTGCTTCCCTTCATGTCACAGGAGATGAAACTAGCAGCATGCTTCAACTCCGCTCCTTTTTGATACTTACAAAAATGTATTAGGTTTTACTATATTGTGCTTCTCAAAGCCATAACTATTAAGCAATTTGTTTTGCATATTGTTTGCTAATACTTTATTTTAATAAACCTCAAAATGTGCTTGCGGTGTCTGTTTTTGTTTATTTTCTGGTTCTCTGCCCTAATTCATGATTCACATAGTAGTGATCTAAAGAGGGCGAGGTTTTCGTTGATGCAGAATTCTCAGTGCTGTGGACAGGAGGTGCATAGGCCACACATGCCCTCTAACCACACACGTCAACTTGACTTGGAAAGTTTTGTCCATTTTGTTTGAATGGGAGTTGCTGTCTTGTTCCTTTTTGTGCTTTGTTTTGAAGAACGATTGAGGTGTTTTAGTTTAGTCAGTGTGTTCTAGATCTGTCTCTAAGTGACGGGCTTGCCTAGCAGAGTTGGCCATGTAGCGTGTGCCTGGCTGTGTTTTAGTCCTGGGCCTATGACTCTGCACTCCTCAGCATGATGCTTGGTTACTCTATGCCTCAGATTCTGCAGCTATAAAATAGAGTTCTACTTCATAGAAAAATTAAGTGAAGCAATAATACAAATCAAAGTATTTAGGCTATTGCTTGGGATAAAATAATTCATTAAAATTACCTGTTAAGTCTTGTTACTTTGACTTCAAGCAACTATTTCTAATACTCTTGAACCTTGACCCTGGTTGATAAACTTGGTCAGTGGTCTACATAATGAGCTAACTAAGCTTAAAAAAAAAACCCTTTTAAAAGTTTATTGTGTGCATATACATGTATGAGCACTCATGCAATAGTGTACTAATCGAAGTCAGAGAAGAATCAGGATTCTCTCCCGCCATGTAGATCCTAGGGGTCACACTTAAGTCCTCAGGCTTGGCAGCCTGTGCCTTAGCCCTTTGGCCCAGCTTAGATCTTTTTTTTTTTTAATTTTTCTCCTTTTCTTTTCTTTGGTAACTGAAGGCAGACTAGCTTCTATGATCCTCCCTCTGGTGTGTGCTTCCCCTGACATGAAAACCATGGCCAGAAGGAGAAAACATTAGATTCTTTACCCCAATAGAATAAATTTAAAAGGACACAGCATTCTTTCAGCCTAAGTCTTTCCTTTTCCATTTTGCTGCCTTAAAGATTAAGGAAGTGGGGTAGTAGGAAACTTTGAAGATAAACTGTAGGCGTCTTGTTCTCCCCTGGACTTAAAGGTATTTAGATGGGAAAGGGTGAGAGGATTTTGGCCTGTGTTTAGGCCTCTCCATGTTGTATTGAGAGGGAAGTGTTGTGTGGCTCCCGGGGAGAGGAATGTCTGGGAGCAGTTAGTGGGTTCATGTGTAGAGATGGGTTTTGTTTGTTTGTTTTGTTTGAACCAAGTCTCATATAGTCATGTAGCCAAGGGTGACCCTGAGTCCTGTATCTCTTGCCTCAAGTTCCTGAGTGCTGGGCATACAGGCATGGCCCACCAGGCAATGTCCGTCAAACCCAGGACATTGTGCGTGTTAGGCAGATGCTGCCTCAGCTGGGCTATGACTCCCCCAGATTGATTTTACAGAGTTCCTTTTACTTTGCCTTAATCTCTCACCCCTTCTTCATTCCATAAACTTTACTCACCTCATTTTAAGGATTTTATTTATATTTTGGATTTTCGAGACTGACTTTCTCTGAAGTTTTTGGTGCCTGTCCTGGAAATAGCTCTTGTAGACCAGGGTGGCCTTGAACTCACAAAGATCCCCCTGCCTCTACCTCCCAAGTGCTGGGATTAAAGGCACGCGCCATCACTGCCCGGCAAGGATTTTATTTTTTATTTACCCAAGGTGAATTCAGAGAATTTTAACAGCCCAGAAAAGCACATGGTGAAACTAGCAGACTAGTAGCTAACCACCCAACACTTGGGCACACGCCCTTCTCATCTGTTCAGGCAGTCACTCACCATTGGTTCTCTGCTTCCTTTGACAGAGTCATAGCTAGTCACGGGTGAGACTGTGCGTGTGGCGGGGGCTATGTTCATGGGTATGCAGATGTACACTCACCGCACAGGTCTAAGTATAAATCTATAACTGAAATGAAAATTTCTCATCTGGGCTGACGGTATTCCCTCCAAGAGCCGAAGGTCATCTGTCAAACCCCCCAACACCAGGCACGAAAAGGGTTTTTTTGAGTTGTAGTCAGGATTGTCCAGGAGACTCCCAAAACAGTACAGGCTATTGCTGTGACCCCTTAGCTGTGTCAGCGCTTGTGAAGGCAGACCTGCATCCTCTGCTGGAGCAGTTCCTGAATGTGGAGTCTGCTGTGGGACTTGTTGACAATACTGAAGCTAGCTGTGATTTAATGCTAGAGGTAACCTTTTGTGTAATGTAGTAAGACAGTTTTGAGTTAAATTGATTCTAGTCAGCATCATTAGAGCTCTTCACCATATCTCAGAGGGAAATTCAGCTAAGAAAGCATAGCTCTTAATCTGTTCCTCCTCTTTGAATTCTTGGGCCTTTGCCCTGATGTAATCAGGTACCTGGAACTGTTGCTTAGCTGACCTTAAAAAAAAAAATATAGCAGTTGAACTGGTATTTTCACCTTTTGGCATTTGGTGTTCTCTCCGAGAAAGTAAAAAGGACAAGAGACCAGAAGAGACACGCATGCTCCTATTTTAGAGCCTGGAGGTGAATGCACGCTGATCTATTGTATTCTGGCTCTGGCCAGGAAGGTTCTCCCCAAACCAACCATTGCATGGAGGGAAGGCCTCTGAGAGCTGGATTAGGTTTAGTTGGTAGAGATTATATGGGTGACGGAGGCCCTGGACTTGGGCAGCTGTTGAGTACCGTACAGGTGTGTCAGCGTTAGTTCAGAAGTGTAACAGCAGTCCACGATTAATCTCACACTTCTGCAAAATGTGCCTTTCATTAGCTTAGAATGGGTTAGGCCAGCTGAGGGATGCCAGCAAATGTGGAGAAAATGCGAACACCGACGTGAACTCGGCTGCAGAGAGGCTTCAGAGAAATGGTCCCGCGTGGTCTGCCTAACACGCTGCAAGCTGTCCCCTCCCTCCTTCATACACCTGTGTTCCCTTTGCCCAGCCTGCCTATTTTCTGACCTAGATCAACATAATTCACCTAGTATTTAAGAACTGTTATATATGTGGGTATACAGAGAAAAACCTTCCTTGCACATTCTCATTCTCGTTGATGGAGACACCGGACAAGGTAAACAAAATCTATGTTTACTGGCAAGTTCTAAGGAGACATGCTGGGAAGGGAGGGTGGGGAGGAAGGAATTACAGCTTGGGTATGGCAGCCGGGAAAGAGCTCACTGAAAAGCTCATTTTGGGTTAAAGTTCAGGAAGGAGTGAGGAAGTCAGTGTGTGACACAGATTGAACATTTTTGTTTCAGGCAGTTGAGAAAGCATGGGAGCAGCGTTGCTAAGATCTGTCCTTTCCTGCAGGAAGTGGAGTGTTGTAAGCAAAAATAGGACATGTACTAACATGTAAGTTCTGTACTCCATCTCCACAGACGATAATAATAATAACTCAAGTGTTACGTACACAGGAGATAATAATATAATAACTCAGGTGTTACACAGGAGATAATAACTCAAGGGTTACGCACAAGAAGACAGGAAATGCTAGTTGCTAACACCAGATTGCCATCCTGGGAAATGGGCCGCTTGGAAGATGAGTCGGCAAGGGAGAGTTCAACTCTGTTTTGTCAGATACAGGTTTTGTTTCGAGTGAAGAATCAAAGATAAATGCACCAGTAAAACTCGCCTTCTGTTTCGCGGTGTAATTAACCAGTGCCCACCAAGTGCCTGTTCTGTGCCTTGAATGCTAGGCATCTAGAAGAAGCGGTGAGCAAGACAGATGTCTTGATCTCAGATGACTGCATGCAACTGTGGGGAAGAAACAGGCTAATTATAGTCATGTCGTAACTCGTTAGGGACTCGAGAGGAGGAAACATTTGAGTCTGGAGTCAAGGTCAGAATACACTGAGTTTGAAATGACCACTTCCAGAGTGTAGAGTGAGGTAAGAAGGCCAAAGGGAGACGGACGGTGGGGAAATGGGCAGTGATGGGCTTTCATGAGTGACTGTTGGGCTCAGCTGCGTTAATATCCTTGTAAGTCATCTCGATGACTGGGCTCGCCGAGAATAGAACCGATCCATTTGGGGAGCTCAGGCATGTCCTTTTTGTCAAAGATTAGACAACAGGACGAGAAGACATTGGCCAGAGGGAAGAGAAGGCAGCGTAATGCAGACGGCTCCTAGGGATCAAAGGGTTTCAGATTCAAGAAGAGTATGGGGAAGTGAGGCCGGTCGTGGGCCAGAAGGGTGCAGGCCAAGTCTTTCAAGAGAAGGAGAAGCCATTAGAGTACATCAGGGCCTAGAAGCAGATGCTGCGATCAGGTACGCGTGATTGGAGGTAGATGAAAGGGCTGTAGGGCTTTGAGGTTGAGGGGCAAGAGTGGAGGTGAAGGATCTGATGGGGTAGAAGAGCGTTTAGCAGATAGTATGAGCATGCTAGCAAGTGAAATGACTACCCTGCTTTTTTATATTAACCTTGGATGGTTAATACAGAGATTGAGACTCCTGAACAACCCTTACCCTGAGATAGAACGGTGATGGGTCTTACGCTGGGTTTTTCTGTAAGATGCCCAGCTGGGGTGCAGAGCAGCCCAGCTGTGGAGGGGGTGGTCCTCTGAGGAGCACAGAAACCCCCGAGAGTAGATGAGGCTCAGCCAACTCTGACTTAGGCAGACCTGCTGGAAGTGCAGACCCTCTATCTACCTGTGTCCCACGTGGATGAGAAGACAGCAAGTCTCGTGGAAAGCAGTCCGTCTGTCCTGTAAGTACTTCTGGAGTCAGCATCCCGACTAACCACAACAATAGCCCACATTCAAGCACTTCTGACATCTCCAACATGAGCTGATCACTTGACCTGAAATGTCTGTGCTGAAAATCCCACTAGGTAGGTGCACAGGTGTGATCCGGGTACAGAGTGTGTGGTCACACCCAGATCGCCAGAGCTCAGGCTCCAGAACTCGGTCCCATGGGCCCTATTATCGTCTCTCCCTGGTTCCCATTATCTACAACCCCATACCCTCACCCCTTCTTACCCTGTCAGAATATCTTCCTGATAATGCCTTTGCTTCCAGTGGCTGTTTGAGCAGGGGAGCACAAACACTCATGACATGGTGTTTCCTTTTAAACATGCCATACCCAGCTCTCTTAAGGTGTTTCCATTACAACTTGGGATTAGGATAGCAGCAAGGTCTAGCTTCTAGATAGCCACATGTCTTAAACATGAGCTGCCCAAACAAAACACCATATTCGATAGATTAAGCAATAGGAATTTATTTTCTTATAATCTGGAAGTTAGAAGTCCGGTTTGAAGATTCTGGTTAAGTCAGTTTGGGAAGAGGGTTCGAAGATGGCCAGCATCTCTGTATGTGCACACATAGCCTTCTCAGCTACGGGGAGTGAGGGGTACGTGAGGGCTTCACCCCTGTCTTCAGGAAGCTCCAGTTCCCTGAAAATGCAGCCGTTCTGGGAATCAGGACCTTGACATCAGATTGGGGAGAGCATACCTATCACTCCGCCCACAATACTAAGTTGTAATCACATTGTAGTCCGCTGGCTTACATATTGGCAGAGGAGATGGGAATTCGGCCACATCCTGCTGTCCCTGGGGAACCCCAGTCCCACGTAAAGAAGACCCATTGCTGCTCAGCTAGCCCAGGAAATAAACAGAGTCATTCAGAAAGTGCTGGCACAAGGGGCTCCCTCTCACTCGGCCTACTTTCTAGATTCCACCTCCAGGTAGGCCCAGTTATCTGAGACTATATTCCAGAAGCATCTACTGAAAGTAGCCACAGCCATGTTCTAGAGACATGTGTTCCAGCTTGTGTCTGTCTATCTTAGCACCTTTGGCCACCTTGGTCGGTATTTTATGAAGGGGTCCCAATGGCTATGCATCATTGTGGCTATTGCTGATAGTGGCTTAGGAACCACAGGTGACTAACTTCATAACCTTTTACTCAGTCATGCTCTTCTCTGAGGGGACCAGCCGTTGCTTTTTCTTGTGGCCACAGAAGCCAGGTGAGCACATCCTGTCTGGGAGTCAGCTTCTCCCCTCAGCAGTGCTGCCTCAAGTCTGTATCTCAATTTAACCCTCTTTAGCATTTGATAACCATTCAGTGGAGCATTGTTCAGGCCGTTACACTGTTTAGTATGCTGCCTGACAGAGCTAGGTGATACCATACCCATTTCACAGAAGAGGCCAGAGGACATAGGTTAAATAATTCACACAAGATCGTATGGCTTTTGAGAGACAAGTTGGCATGTAAAGCCGGAGGGTCGGGACGGAGTTGGGACTGGCTCAGCACATCACCTTCAAAGCTGGCCGCTGGGGTATAGTAGAATGCCCTTCTACACAATATCTCCATCCTTCCCAGTCCCCAGTCCCCAGTCTTGAGCATGTGATTTTGGTATGCCAGCTAGGGGCTCGTGGTTTGCACGTCTATGCTCATGAAGTCTCTGCAGCCACATTGCCTGTGGATTAGCTGGCTTATCCTTACCGAAGGCTTGAAGATGTTTGCCTCTGTTTCCTATAATCTACAATGCTCTGGGGAGCTTGTGGAGTGGGTTGTGCTAGCTAGAGTCTGCCAGCTTTGTGAGCAACCCCACACCTGGGAGCTTTCCTGCCACCGCCTGCCTCCTCCCCGGCTTCCTAGGATAGGGGTAGGAGGCATGGTGGAGAACCCTGCCTAGGCTGCCCAAGCCTCCTGTTCAGCCATCCGAACATGTCTGAAAGCGCTTATGAATGTTGCCAACTTCCCTGTGTGTATGCATTCGGGCAAGGGCTAATGTGCTTTCCTGCTTTAGGTTCCCATGACTCCAGCATGGCTGAGAATTAACTGGATTAATATGTCAGATTCTTCTTTAGTAAAAAGTCTCCTAAGCTCAAGTGAAGTGAATTTTAAGCCAAGTAGCTCCTGGGAGTATTTTACACGGCCATGAAAATAACTCCCTGGCCTGGCACGGTAGCACATGCCCTTACTCCCAGCCCTCAAGAGGCAGAGGCAGAGGCAGAGGCAGGCGGACCTCCATGAGTTCCAAGCCAGTGCTGTGAGACCCTGTGTCAAAAACCAACCATCCACCTGGAATTAGGCTGACTTTGAAAATAGCCAAGGCTGTCCCCAGACCTATCTCCTTGTCCCCCGTTCCTGTGGGGTTCTCGGGACTGACTTCTCTTTGCTTGGGAGGAAGTGCCCTCTCCCCCTTTTAGGCCCTACCTTCACCAAGCCCTGTCTCTGGTTCAGGAGCGTCAGGCCCAAGAAGGCTCTGAGAGCAAAGGTGCGAGGGAAGGACCTGCCTCGCAGAGAGGGTCTCCATGGGGTCCTGTTAGAAGGAACTGATTCAGCAGGTCAGATGGCAGTTATCCCTGGAGTCTGCCAGAAAACAAAACAAAACAAAACAAAACAAAAAAAAACCTCTTTCCAGAGCAGGTGAAATGCTGGGGAAAACCAGGGAGGAGGTGGTATGCTCAGACCGGCCCTAGCAGGAGAAGATACCTCGGGTCTAGGCCCCCTAGATAGACCCGCTCATACTCCCTTTCCAAAATGGTGCAACTAATGATCCGTGTTCTCAGTGCTGGGTTTAATTTGGTGAGATTTTATTGTAGAAACATGATCCGTGGAGGCCTGAGGTGCAGACTCTCCCATGCAGGACCCTGCAGCTGTGACTTGCGCCTCCACTAGCTCCCTGGGCCCCTGCTCTTAAAGGAAACTAGGTACTTGAACCCGAGCTGGACACAATGAACCCTTGCATTATTTCCCTATCGGATCCCCAGGGTCAAAGAGCAAGAGGGGTGGTAGCCGCTGCGGGGAGACAGCCATGGGGCTGGGGAGCCCAGTCCGGAGAGGCAGCTCTTGGTTAGTCCCTTGCCGTGCCTGCTGCCCCTCTGTGAGCAAAGCCAGGAACTCACCAGGCAAGCCAGGCTCCTGTATCTGGCTGGGTACTCCTCTTTCTGGATGGTTTCCTGGCAGGGCCCGATGTAGAAAGTAGAAGGGGGGACTCGACTGGGGAGTACTTTCAGGCACCTGGACCAGGACCCCACACAAACCTCAACGGCTCTCCCGCCATCACTTATTCTCCAGGTCCGAAAGGGTCTTTTAGTTCTAGGCGAAGTGTCCCAGGGGCCAGCGACTCTGGAGCCCACCCTGCCCTGCTCCTGCTGGAGGCTCTGTGAGACTAAGACCAAGCGCCCCCAGGCCCTGATTCAGTCTGCTCTAAACCGGCCGCGTCTTCCAGGGCGCACGGGCATCGCGCAGCGAGCGGTCGTGGGGCAGCGCAGCAAAGGCCGAGTGGCGCAGCTGGCAGCCGATGAAGAGGACGACGAGAGCCACAGATAGCAGCAGGAGGAAGAAGAGCAGCAGGTAGGTGGACAGGTCAGGCTTGGTGGCCGAGCTGTCCCGAACTCCACGCGCGGTAGCCAGTTCCAAAGGCAAAGCACCCTCTGCCTTAACTGTGGCTCCGGGGGCCAGCGCGTCGCTTCCCGCTGCCTCCGGGCCGCTTGTGGCGTTGAACACGTCTCCGTACATGATCCGCGGGTCCCGCTGATCCTGGCGGGACCACCTCACTTCTGCTGCAGACCTGCGCTGCTCAGCGCCTCCATGGCGTTCCCCTCCTGTGCACCTGAGGAGGAATCGATGCCCCGCGGGCGGGAGGTCACCGAGACAACTGGGGGGTGGGGAGGGGCGTCCAGATGTGTAGCCCAGGCTACCCCGGCACCTCAGGTGTTCCCTCTTCCGATTGTTGCTACCAGGACAGAGTCCTGAGCCCTTGGCCCATCTCGCGGTTTTTTCTGTCGCTCTTCAGCTTGGATGAGCTCCGGAGCAGTCCTGGGCTGCAGCGGCTACTAAGGGTGCAGGTGAATGCAGCAGCAACTCTGTTCGGCTCTGCGCTGGGCTCGGGGTGCTCTAGGATCCTCCGCTTCCCCAGTCCTGCAGCCTCGGATCCTTGTCCAGACGCCCGGTGTGTTGGAGCCTGTCCTAACGCGCTCCCACCGCTGCTGCTGCTGCTGCTGCTGCTGCTGCTGCTGCTGCGCTCCTGTCTGAGCTGGAGACTGAGCTCCTAGAGCCTTCTGTCCTGGGCGGGAGGCAGGGAGGTGACAGGATTTGCAGCACTGCCTTGAGAGAGGCTGCAAGCCAATGGATATCCTAGGATCAGAAAGGAGGCAGCACTGTGCCTGCCTCTCATCACTCCGAAGAGGACACTGAGTGGGGGGAGAGGGAGAGAGAGGAGCCGGAACAAGGAAGGCTGGGAGGGGAGTGGGGTTTTAATTCCTCTTCCCAGTTGCTTCTCCACGCCTCACACCTGAGATTGAACGAGCTGGGATTTGAACCCGAGCCATTGCACAGTGGTTCTGGCAGCTGCTGTTCATGGCTAACCACAGGTTGGATTCAAGGCATAAGCTTCAGGGTTTAGGTCTAACACTGCAACCTGTCACAGTGGTGTGGCACCTCTGCCTGGAAGGATGTCACTTGCCAAGCTTGCACACTGGGGTTGTGGTGCAAGGGAGCCTGAGCTCAGTCCCTAGCTACCTTTCGAGGGGTGGGGCACAACTGATTTCTGACCAGCCACAGGCCATCAGGCAGAGCACTCAATTAAGAGGTGAGCTGATTACTTTTTGTCAATTTGACACAAGCTAGAGTTATCTGGGAACCCCAAGAAGGAAACTGACTGCGGGCATGTCTGGGGGGGGGGCACATTTTCTTGAATAAAGACAACGTGGGGGGTGTGCTGTGCCATCCCTGGGCGGGTGGTCCTGGTCGCATGAGACAGCCGGCTGAGCAAGCTAAGGGAGGCAAGCTCCGGCCTCAGGAAGTAAGAGCCTCAGGAAAGCCTGGGCTGGCAGCTGAATGAGCCAATGGAAAGAGGAGCTAGCTCTTCCCCTCTCCCACCGCATACTGGGCACAGCCACAGGTGGTGCTGCAAGAGCGGCCATGGCACAGCGGGTGAGAGGTCATCCCCAAAGCCCATCTCTCCATGTCACCCCATCTCACTTGAATGGTGGCCCTGAGTGCTGAATTGAACAACACATAGGGGATTCTGGGGAGACTCCCTGGGCCAGGAGGGGCCATGTAGAAGTTAGGGAACAGCAGGACTCGGCACTGCCCACACCTGCTGGGTTGCCACCCTTGACAGCCTCCGTCCTGGCAAGCAGCCTGTGTGCTTAAAGGACACCAGTCCCTGGGCCTCCACGTTTGGCAGCTGTTTAGACCAACAATTCACTTTTCAGATGGGAAAGCTGGCTCGGAGAGGTGCCAGAATTTATCTTCGTTAGCCTCGACACTGTAACTGGCCCAGGGCTGCAGTAGCAGGGGCAAGTGTCGCTTGCTCTGTAGGTCTGGTCTAATTTGTACTGCACTTGCATGGAAGGTGAAGTCCTACAGACATGCCAAGCCGGAACAGGCCTCCCTGGCACCTTACCCACGGAGTGATCAGCCTCGGGGCTGGATGGAGGTTTGCTTTTGGGTTCTTGTGTGGCTTGAATGAAAGACCCAGGTGGCTAGGTTTGGGGCTGGGTCTGGAACTCTCTCCCGAGCACTGGGTGGGAAGTGGTGAGGCTGACTTTGCCCATGTCTACTGAGTACCAGCCTGGCTAGATAAGTACCCAGGCAGTGGGCTTCCTACAGCTATGTGGGCAGCTCAGGTGGGAGGTCCTAAGTGGCATCCTGGGCAGGACAATGCCTTTGGGCTTTAAAGGGAGGCTGGGTAGCAGACAGATGGCTGGTCTGTCTCCGGTTGTGTCTCTAGGATGTGGCTGTGGAACGTGGGTATATAAAGAAGGCTTGGTACGAAGAGAGGGTCCCTTCCTTGCAATATCATAGGCTCATGGTGGGGGCAAAGATTCTCTGTTGCTGGCCCAGGCCCCTGACACCACTTGCTCCTCCTGTCTGTGCTGCGCAAGTCCTCCCACCTGGCAGTGAAGGAGCTGGACCACCAAGGCCGTGCAGATGACGTCACTGAGCTGTTCTCATGGCAGAGCGGTTCTGGTAGCTGTTGTTCATGCCTCTATCCACAAACTGAGCACAAATGGCCTTCAGGGTTCATCTCGCACGCTGCAGCCTGTGATGGCACACTGTGGTACCTCTGTGCCTCCCAGGCAAGAGGGTGGGGCCTAGGTAAGGGGTCACTTCCAAGGTCACACAGCTGGGTTGCAGGATGAGGGAGCCTCCAATGCCACAGCCTGGGAGTGTTCACCCAGTCTATCGAGCCGAGTGTTATCAAGCTGCCTTTTCTCTTGACAAAGTTGGAGGGGTACCCTGCCCCTTTGGGGGAGTCCTCTGGTATCGATGAGGAAGCTACAGTTTATTTTCTGAAAGACAGAGCCCCGAGAGGGTTGATCATGTTCCCTGCACATCCCCGGGCAGGCAATTGAGCAAGCCTGTCCCTGAGTAAATGCACAGATAGAGTTTGTGCAGTTTTTTATGCAAGCCGGCGTGACCTTCCATTAAGAGTGCTTTGTGGACGCACACATTTAAGTCTTTGAACGATTATAAAAGGGGGCTCCGAGGCCGCTTTTGACTGGCAGAGGTCACAGGGCTGTGCGCTCACAAGGACCTCTCTCCCATTCCGTGCTTATTGAGTGGTATGTGTGCCCCTCCTGATGCCTGTCTGCAGAGCCCCAGGGAGGCGAGGTAAGGACACCCTCCTGCCTTGATGACCACTTGGCAGTTGTTGAGTGGAAACTAGGGGAGCATTGATGTAGCGCGCCAGTGCTACGGGATGGTTCGCAAGCCAGGAAAGGGGCTGGAGCTTTAAATACATACACACACAGACAGAGACACAGGTCATCCTTGAAACAAGAATGCCAACTTTATTGTGTGCCAGGGAAGCTTATATAGGTAGGGATCCTTAACTGATAGCCACGCCCCAGCTCTTGGGATTTCCAGCTGTAAAACCCACCAGGAACCACTTCTCTGCCATCAGGAACTCATGAGGGTCTCGTGCTCAGAGCAGCTGCAGGCACAGGAAAACAACTTGTTTACTCTGCTCACTCCAGCAGGCAAAGGGTCTGAGCCAGACAAAGAAAATCAAGAGACCAGAGGTCTGCAGCCCCCAATACACTGAGCCCCAGGATTTTGTAAACTTTGCTGAAACTGGTACGGTGCGTGGTGAAGCCATTTCTGTTTCTTCTAAATGTTTGGGGAATCATTATGAAACCACTAATGTCAAACAGACTGGGGGTGAAGAGACTTCCTGTGTATGTGTGTGGGGGGGGGGGGGGGGGGGGTGGGCTCATAGTTCCACTCTGAGTGATGAAGATACATACCCTGCTTGCAGAACTTATTTTTTGGTTTGAGGATTTATTTATTTATTTATTTTGGAGACAGGTTCTCTATGAGTAGCCTTGGCTGTCTGGAACTCGCTCTGTATACTAGGCTGGCCTTACACACAGATCCACCTGCCTCTGCCTCCTGAGTGCTGGGATTAAAGGCATGTACCACCACCACCGCCGGGCTATTTTTATTTTTATTTTTTTAACTGCCTTTGCTCCAGCATCTGAGTCAACCTGAGGACAAAGAGGAGGTGCCATGTTTCCGGCATGGTAAACCCCCTTCTGTGGGACCCCTCTCACATCCGGCATGCTCGTTCTCCCAGCCTGTTGCCTAACCTCATTAGGAAAACTGCTTCATTTTGGAGTCTTGGGGGGAATTTGTTGTTTATTTCCTAAAATGACCATTCTAAGCGGCAGCTAGGTCATCAGCCAGTACAGTTGTCGAGATTGTAAAACAACAGCTAACTATTGGCAGCCATGATGATTTGGTTCCTCTGGAGACAGCTTCAACAAGGTCGAAGTAACTGCAGAGTGACGTTTCTTTTTCCATCTGGAAAGGAGGGCCCGAGAGGAACCATTTACGACTAAAATGCCATCAGACAGGCCTGTGAGGAGTTCCCAAGCAAACATGGCCCCCTGGAGTCTCTTGTGGGGCAGAATGTAGGACATGGTGGCAGTTTTGAGCTTGTTGATTCATTCATTGGAAGGCTATCGTTCTGTTGCTCAGGCTTGGAGCTGGTGACCCTCTATGGCCTGTTGAGTTCTGGGAAAAGAAACAGTTGGCAGGGGCTCACTTTTCCTCAGAGATCTCCTCTCTCAACCCTGGCCCCAGCCATGGCCTTCCTGTCTGCCCTTCTGCCCTTGCTGGTGTCTGAACCACGGTGAGCGCCCCCCTGTGGCCAATGCTTCACCTTTTTTTTTTTCTTTATGTTTTGTGTTTTATTTTTGCTCAAGCTATGGTCTCACTGCAGCCAAGCTGTCACTGAACTTGTGACCGTCTTAGTGCCGTGCCTCAGCCTCCCGAGTGCTGTGAGGTTACAGAGGCCAGCGCCTCACCTAGCTCGGTGTCACTTCTATGGTCAGCAGTAGCAGGCCCTCGTGAACCCCAGGCTTTGGGTCCTGGCTGGGCTGACCTCCCTTTCTTATTTTTACTGAGGTAGCTTCCACCCAGGCCCACTATGTGTCTCCAGGCGCGGAGGCCACAGCAGCTTTCTGCCTTTGCTCTTCTGAGGTCCATTCTCAAGGCCGAGGGAAGCCTGGAGTTTGTACATTTTACAGTGATGTAACTATA